CGCAGATGTGTAGGTATGTTGCACTTTTAAAATGGTGTAAACACGTAAGTGCAGAGAACAGGGCAGTGAACTGCCTGGCACCCAGCGCTGATCCAATCGTTAGCAATTCTTAGAGGTCCCTTCCAGCCCCTCCCCTGCCCCAGCAAATCCCCAGTGTTGTGTATTTTTGTGTACAGATACTTTAAAAATAAGTAATCTTCTTAAAAAACCATGCTCACATACATATTAGCACTAATTTCTTAGTATCATAAAATGCCTAATCAGTGTTTAAATTTCCCAGTCATCTCCTCTAATATTATCTATCTGATGTGTGCATTTCATAAATATGTATATATTTTCAGTTCGTCTTCTAATTTGCTCCAACTGAGATAAAAATAAGAATCTTACAATTGTGACTTGTGAACATGCTTCCTAAGACCGTCTCACTACGTTTCCTTTCTTTTTCTTATGCTTTGTCTGCTGAGGGGAGCACTATTGACCTACATAGTGGTGGTGAACCAGTGGCACTTGTGCCACAGCAGGCTCTTTGTTAGCCTCGCAAGCCTGTAGAGGTTCACCATCACTGGGGGATTCCATTCCGTGACTTTCCCAGTGGCACTGCGGTGGTTTCATCCAGCAAACTCCTGCGTGTTCTCCAGCACTGTGGTCAGCTTGGGCTCTGTGTGAGGGCTTGCCGACCTCCTGCTTGGTTCTTTGCCATCTCCAGGCCACGGGACATGTACCTGGTGTCTCTTGGTGGTGCTAGCAGCAGCTACTGCCCCATGTCAGGACACAGCAGGGCACCTAGGTCACGCTGTGATCTGACTCCAGCACCACCCTTCTCTCCGTTTACATCATGGAAGACTATTCATTAGCATAGTACTAGTCGGTGTTATCTTCTGAATTTCTCTAAGAACTGGAGGATTTAAAGGAATGTGGTGAGGTTCACTCTACAGCAGTGATACATTGGTACCAGGGCTGTCGCCTTGGTTTTGGAAGCCTTGTGATGCCCGCTCATGTCCACGTGGAGCACACAGACCATGCACTTGGTTGTCTCGCCATACATGTGTGCATGCACACGTCCACCCTGCTCTGTGTGTGCACATCTGGAGACACGTGGGCATGACCCCCTTGCTGACAAGCATCTCCACCTTGGCGGCCCTGCTCCTTGGGGCAGAGCTGACGCACAGCAGCGTTGGTACCAGCTGACCGTATCCATGCTTGTGAGTGCCCTCATGGTCTGCATATCCATGGTGAACGACACCTGTTTCCATGGAGCAACAGGCACGTGCATCTGGTCAGAGAGGCTAAAATCCCTGCCCTGGGTAGTCACAGGTATTGCTGTCACTGGGGACTATTGCCACCCAACACTGGCATGAGCAGGAAAGCAGAGCCCTGGTCACGCCTGGCTCTGTAGCTGCTCTGGTCACTGTGAGGGTTCCTGTGCTTCTGTGGCTATAGATACAATGCATCCTCTTCCCTGGCCTTCTGAGCTCTCCAAAAAAAGGTCTCGCCCTCACCAAGAGGCTCGTGCTGCTGTCCACCATGTGTCTCTGTCCTGCTATCCTGGTTGCTGCCTTTCCCTCCAAGGCTTTCCCCTGTGAGGCCCATCCCCTTGGAGGCCCAGCCCCAGCGAGGCCTGGCCCACATGCAGCAGGTGTGCCTTCCCCCAGGCTTCCCCTGAATGCCTTCCCTCATGGGCAGCCGGTGGCCCTCAAGTCTTGCTCTTGGTCTGTGAATGCGCCCAGTTGGGCACTTCCACACATGGTCCAGTGGAGGCCTGTGATTGCAGGAACCCCAGACCCCTACTGCAAGAGGGATAGCACTGAGCCCCAGCAAGCTCTTCTGTGGCCCTTGGGGGAACAGAGGGTCCACTCTTCACTCGAATCTGAGGGGAGCTCAGTGAGGTGCAAGCATCCTGAGTCTCTGGACCAGGCTCAGTGTGAGATTCAGGCCCCTGAAACTTCAGAACGTCACAAGCGGCACTGTGACTGTCACCAGCTGGGTGACGTGCTGATGATGTGCCCTGTGCCCCCACAGCGGACCGAGGAGTCTCTTTGCCCCACTGCTGGACACACTTGCCCTGCAGCCCATTGCTGAGGACATGGTAGGGCAGAGAGGGCAGGGCAAGGCCAGAGCTTCCAGCCGCTGCAGGGAGCAGGGCAGGGCTGGGGTCCTGTTGGGCACCAGGCTCTCCAGAGGCAGGAGGCCCTGAGCACTGTGGGGGCAGCAGTGGAACAGAAGAGAGTGGCCAGGTCCATGGAGATGGCACTGGAGGGGAGAGAGGTGTCCATACAGGGACAGGAGGATGCAGGCCTCGAGAGCAGACATGCGGTGTCCACTGGGCATCAGCTTGGGAGGTGGAGAGCCAGGCCAAGTTCCACTGAGCAGCAAAAGGGCTCTGCTGAACCTCAGGTCCTGTTCCAGTCCACTGAGGACACCCTCTGCCCTCTCCTGCCTATTGCCTGCCTATCTTCTGTCCTCCTCTGCTCCTCCTTAGCCCTCTGCCTGGCCTGCAGCCTGTGTCCTTCCTAAGTCTGTCACCAGCCACCTGCCCTAGGAAGGGCCACCCCATTCAGAGGGACAGGGAGATACTTGCCTCTGAGCTTGGAGGACTATGGTCTTTTTCTCTTTGTTTTTGTTTTTTGTTTTGGTACCAGGGATCGAACTCATGACCTTGTACTTGCCAGGCAGGTGCTTATGCTGCTGAGCTAAATCCCCACCAAAGCTTGGAGAACTATGGGACACAGCTGGCTCTGTCACCTCTTGTTTCCAGGGTCCTGGACAGGAACCCTGCCAGGCCCAGATCAGCTTGGTCAGAGCCAAGGGCATATCAGGCTGGCTCTTCCTGGCTCTGAAGACTCTGGTACCTTCACAGTTGCCTTGGGGCTTAGGACACCCCAGGGCAGTGGTGGTGGCTGTGGCAGGTGAGGCTCCACCAGATATTCTTCATGTTACAGATGGAAAGGAAGTGCAGAACTCAGGGAGGTTTGTTTAGGCATGTCCTTAGCTGTGGGGACACTGGGAACAGTGTCCAGCCTGGCCACTTGGGGTTGCTGCAGGAGGTGACAGCACTTGTGCATGGGAGACTCCGTGATCATCCAGTCCTGGCTGCCCAGAATTCGGAGCCGTGTGGTGCAGGCAGTGCCCACAGATCCTCTGTCCTGCGGGCACTCACAGTACATTCCTGGCATCTGATGCCCCTCGCCAGTGTGGACTCCTCAGTGGCTCAGATGAGCAAGCCTGGGGTGGAGCTCCTGACTCTGTGATGGCTGCTCTGGAAGGAGAAGGGCTGCAATGCTTCCATCTGAAGGGGACACAGCACTCTCCAAGGGTCAGCATGGACAGCCCACTCCTCCAGAGCGAAGGCCAGCCTGTGGTCTTGTGCCAGTCTGGGATCCTGCTTCCCTGCTTCAGAAGCAGGGCTTATGGCCTCCAGCAGCCTGCAAGACCCTGCAGTCCAAGGTTCCAGGAAAGCCTGCCACAGATGTGGGGAGGAGACACTGGTGGCCACGCTGTGTGTTCGGAGTGCTTGAATCTCATGCTATGAAAGAGCCAGCATCCGCAGCAGGATGCACTGTGCCACATGCAGGGTGCATGGGTCCAAGGCCAGAGCCCTGATAGGCTGGGGTGGCGGACAGTTCCTACCAGGATTCCTGCGGTTCAGAGGAACCCGGCCTAGACTTGACAGGCAGCCAGATTTCTGTTTCCAGCTGGTTTCCGGTTACCATAATCTCTTTGTAAAGCTTGATAGAGGACAGGCGATCGCATCTCAGGTGCCCTCCAGCTCTGCTAGGCCACTTCATCCCTGGATGCTGATTCCCTTGGTTACCTGCCTGGTCGGGCTTAGTTACAACCACTCCTCCTGCAGAAATAACCATTGGATCAGCTGACCACTGTCATCACCAGGACAAATGTGGTCCCGAGGGTGTGGCGTCCCATTGGCCCTGCAGCCCCTCTCCCTGAGAATGCAAACTGCTTCTCCACCTTAGCGAGCATGCTGCAGGGAAAGGCAGCTCAGCCCACAGCCAGGCCCTCCCCTGAGGCCCTGCTGTCTGATTACTGCCTCTGGTTCCCTAACTGGGAAGAGGACGGCACCCAGCGCTCAAGGCTGCCCTCATTCTGCTAGGAGGCAGCAGAGTGGAGTGTGGAAGGATGGCTAAATTATTCTCTGCATATGTGAAAAGCACATGGCTGGGTGTAATTTGCCTAGCAGACAGGCTCCTGACTCCCAGGTTTTTGTTTGTCTTCCAGGTCTGTCCAGGTCAGTCAGGCCCCAAAGGCTGGCCCAGCTCTGTCTGCATGGCTACAGGAACAGAGGACAGGTTGGGGTGGCTGAGGCTTTTCACCATGGTGGGGTACAGACACCCCAGGGCTCAGGGAGCCTGACACCCACAAGCTTCTACCATTGCATGTTTCCGTGGCTATACATTTTGGGAGACAGGTTCCATGGGCACCTCTGCTTCTTGGTCCTCTGAACACTGGAAAGGAGAAGTGAGGGCACCCGGAGACACCTTGCTTTCTGACAGTACAGGTTGCCTGGCTATAAAACCTGAAGCCTGCAGTGTGCAGCTCCCCCAGCATCTGCAAGGAAGCAGACCCAGCCCGAGGCCCCTCATCCCAGGAGGCACACATCCGCTCATCCCACGAGGCACAGAGGCTGGACTCAGGGCACCTCAGTTCAAGGTAGCTTTCCACTTTTCCCCAAGGCTGCGAGGAAGCTGGGCCAAGGATGCTCTCCTCTGTCTTCCCGAGATAGTGACTGAGTATCCACAGCCTGCTGGAGCCTGACATCCTCCTCCAACACCGAGGAGACCAACATGGGCTTGGAGCTCTCCCTAGGCCTCCTGCCACCCAGCAAGTCAAGAAGGTTACTATTCTGGGAGCCATGGCCTCACCACTGCCCTTGTGCTGAGAGCCACAGGAGCTCGCTCTGCACCTGTGCTGGTGTCCTGGGTCACCCCAGGGGCAGTAGGTGGAGTGAGGGTAGAGCCTGACCACTATGAACCCATTGTCTCCACTTCCCTAAGTCAGCAAATTGTCAGTTCACAACCCCCAGATTCACACTGAAGCGCTCTCCCCAGAGCAAAGGTGTTGGGAGATGGGCTTCTGGGAGACAGCCGGGTAGGATGAGTTTGCACAGGGCAGGTGTTTATGGTGGATGTGGTGTTCAGTGAGAAGAGACAGGGGACAGCAGATGGGGCCTTTCTGGCCTTCTCTGCCTGCCACAGGAGGGTACAGTTAGGTGACGCGCTCCTGCAAGCCAGGAAGAACATCAGCTCCAGGGACGAACCTCAGACACCGCCCCTGGAGCTGGAGGACACACGTGGTGTCTCGTCCTGCAGCCTGTGCTGGCGAGTACACCTGACCACACACAGCTCAGCCACAGAGATCGAATCCATGCGTAACACACAGGAGCTAACGCCAGGAGGAGGCTGCATGCTGCGTCCTAGGGAAGTCAACTGCCTCGGGTATGGGTTGCTTGCAAAAGGGAAGATGAGAAAGGAGACCCGTTGTTACTGTCGCATGCTTCCTGCTGCAGAATATTAATAGGAAGCGGGAGGAGTGGGGGAGCGCACGCCGAAAGGAGGTTATTAATAAGAACAATGCGCCACAGCTGCGTGGCACTTTCCATTTGAGAAGAGGTTTACAAAACCAAACCTGCAGGAAACAAATATTCATGGCTGCCACCTGCACTTCAGAGATGAAGGCGAAATCAGCCACACAGAAACCGTGGAGAGAAAGAGGAGACTTCGCAAGGTCACCGTCAAGGTAAAGGAGCTGGGAGCTTGGCTGGGCCTGCCTCTCCCCTGCAAGCCCCCACCCACCCACCATCCCACTGGGTGACGCTCAGAAGGAGAAGGCAAGCCCTGCAGCCCAGCGTGGCTCCCTCAGAGCCACCAGCCCTGGAATCCCTTGGAATGGCGTCCAAATGTTGTTTTCTACTGTGGATGAGGGTCACAAAGGTGTCCCCCAGAGCAAGGAGAAGGTAGGGGAGGAGGAGCCCGTGCCACACACAGAACTGGCTCAGCTCCTGGGGGCCAGAGGCCATGTCTCTGCCTCCTTTGCAGCCGGGAAGGGTGTCTTGCTGGGCCAGTACCTGGGGCACTTCCAAAGCCACACAGATGACTTCCTCCAGGGATTCCAGGGCTGAGTCCATCAGTGACTGACTAACATCCAGCTCCTCTGGCCTCCAGAGACCTGAGGCTCAGGCTGCAACCTCTTTGGAAAGGGGGTCACTGTAGACATGATCAGCTAGGCCAGGTCACACTGAACGGGCCCTTGGTGTGCATGAGTGGTGTCTTTATGGGAAAGAGAAAGAGGCACAGCTGGGTTCTCGTGCGACTGCCACAAGCCGGGGAGCCAGGGTGGCAGCAGACAGCAGCTGCAGAGGAGGGGGTCCCTGGAGTCCCTGGATGGTGCGTGGCCTTGCACGCTTTGACCATGGGTGCTGGACCCTGGTCTGTGTGGAGCCACAGTGCTGTTGATTGAAGCCCCACGGTTTGTAGTACTCTGTCACAACAGTCCCAGGACATTCTCATTCTAGGTTTAAGTGTGAAATCTGAGGTTAGTGTCGGGTAAACACTCAGACAAGGAGACACAAAAGCCAAATAAAGGTGCCCCGCAAACTGCTGTGAGCAAAATCACACAGAGTCAGGGCCTGGAGCCACCTTCTCCATGGATCTTAGTCGTGGAGTGTCGTGTGGCTGGAGAACCCTAGGCCACCGGCCACTTCGGGGCCTGACTGTCTGCAGGCCAAGCCCACAGAGGCACATGGGTACCTGGGGAGCTGGAAGGAGCCAGAGTCCCACATAAGATGACAAGATACCCTCTGCCACGCAAGCCACCCTGGCACGTGGGTCACAGGTGACGGTGGTCCCCAACTGCTTTCCAAATCATTCAGATCTTCTTTCAGATATTGGGTTGATTGTCCTGTCCTTCTGAATGCCACAGAAACAAAAAGATTCATGCGTTTGGTGGTGGTGATGCACAATTCGATGGTTCTGTAAATCTTTTTAAAAATTTTTTTTTGTTTTAAAGAGGGTAAAATTAAACAGAACAAAACATCATAAGAAAACAATTTAAGAAAAACAGATTTTAAAGCAAGACCACCAGAGATCTTCACTGTCTATCATATTGTCTCTTGTTTTCTTCCAAATAGTTGTCCATACCTTCACATACAAAACAACATAGTATAAAACTGATCTAAACAGGATGATAAAGGCATTTTAGGTCTTCAGGACTCGGCAATAGGGAAGTCAACAATGGCTGCGATAGTGTCTCTTGTTCTCTTTGAAATAGCTGTCCATATCTTTATGTATGTTGAAATTAAACAAAAGAAAATAGATTAATACCACTCTGAACAGAGAATAATAGTATTGCTAGATTTTATATTATAATGCTATAGAATTAGCACTGGGTATCTTAGTGTCTCTTCTTCTTCAGACTATCTGTTCATTACGTCATGTATTATATAATCTATTCTTGTAAACTGTTTGGAAATTCTACCATGAGTGAATCCCTACATGTATACCTATCCTTTCTGTATTAGAAGGAAAAACAGATCAAAACAAGACAACAAAACCAATTCCTAGAGAAACATGAAATGAAAAAGACATATAAAACCACAATATTAGGTGATCTACAGTAGTTACTATGCTTTCTCTTGTTATTTTCAATAGAATTGTCTATATCATCAGGCACAGTATAATTGAACATAGCACTACATAGCAGTATTAATAAAAACACAACATTGGAGACATTGTAGGCCTTCAAAAGCAGTTAATAAACAAATTGGAATGGGTATCTTATTGCATCTTGTCATCTTCAGAGTAGTTGCCTCTACCCTTAGACTTGATACTATCAAGCACACCAAATTCAAATAAAATCAGTCAAGACAAAACAGCAATCTAACAAACCAGATTCAAATAAATCAGTCATAGTAAGACAATGTAAGTGATACAGGGCTTCAGTTTAAGTTAATAGGAAATTAAGGATAGTTACCATAGTATATCTTGCTATTTTGGGGACAGCTGTCTGTGCTCTCAAATCTAGTATGAGTAGACAGACCAGAACAAAATAAAATCAAACCAAACACAGTGATAAGACTAATGTGGCTTTTAAATCTTGATACACTATTAACAATGTCCTCTGTCTTTCTTTTTTTAGACAGTTCCTCCTCTTTCCCTTTCTCAGGGTGCTTTGTACATTTTGGGTCCCACTAACTCTTTTAGTTTTTAGATTAGGTGGACAACCCATTATCTACCTAAGTGGTACTGAACTTTTTTATCCCTGAGCTTGATCTTGAGCTGTATTCCTTTACTTACTAAAGCCTCAAGGTTTTCCTTCCTTATAGCTGAGTAGTTCTCCACTGCACAGAAGTGTTAGGACTTTCCAACCTATCTGCAGCTGCTGGGCGAGCTGTCCCTATTTCTCTCGGGTTCCCTGTCACACAGAGCATTGTTTTCTCATCTTTGACTTTCAGTCCATAAATCTTCTTTCAGGTAGATTATATTTCCTATTCAGAGCATCTTGATGGATCCTATCTCCTGATCTACTCTCCCTGTGTTTCTTTTTGTTAGTGTATCAAGGCCATCTATGTTAAAGATTATAGCCAACCTTCTCTGCCTCATCTCTGCTATGCTATTTTTCTGTTGTTGATTGTCTACTTTTCTCCTTCATTCCATTGTCTGCTTCCTTCATTGAGGCCTCTCTGCCACTGTTGATGGAATGTTGGTATTTTTTCTCTCTCTCTCTAGAATGTCCTTCAGTATTTTTTTTTAATAGGATTGGATTGGTGGTCATGAACTCCCCCAGTTCCTCTTTGTCATGGAAGTATCTTGTTTCTCCATTAATTTTGAGAGACAGTTTTTCAGGGTACATCAATCTGGGTTGGAAGTTATTTTCTTTCAGGGCTTGGAATACTTCACTCCAAGCTCTTCTTGATTTGATAGTTTGTGTTGAGAAGTCTGTTGTGATTTTGATGGGTTTTCCTTTATAGGTGATCTGTTTCTTTTCTCTGACTGCTTTTAATATTCTATTGGTTTTTTTTTTAAATATGTACCCGGGATTGAACTCACAACCTTGCACTTGCAAGGCAGGTGCTTATGTCATTGAGCTAAATCCCCAACCCTCATATTCTGTTCTTGTGATGAATTTTTGGGATCTTGATTATTATATGTCTGGGTGTAGATCTGTTTTGGTTATAGCTGGCCGGAGTTCTGTATGCCTCGTTTACCGGATATCATTTCCTTTTCCTATGCTTGGGAAGTTTTCCTTAATTATTCCTGTGAATAGCCTTTGTAATTCACTTGTGTTTACTCCTGCTTCTTCACTCACTTTTTGTTGGGAGCCGCCGACACCGGTCGCCTTACTTGGCGGACGTAGGGCCTGTGGGTGGGAGCGGGGCCTGAGCTAGATTGCCCCTCCCATCGAGTGAGTCAAGTTGGCGCCTGCTTCCTGCCCCCTGATTGCGCTGGCGACTTAAACAACCCGCTCTGTAAGATAGTCTGCCTAGCAACAACTGATGTTAGCCAATCAGCCCGCATCGCGCGCTTTGAACTGATTGGCCACTGTCACCCTATAAAAGTGAATGCCTCTCCCGCCACAAGAAGGAAGCACAGAGGAAGCACAGAGAGAGATAGAGAAAGTCCACCGGCGAGAAAGGGCTGGTGGCAGAGTGGAGGCCTCGCGGGGCCCACGCGGAGATAAATAAAGGCAAGGTTGCACACCGCCAGACTTTGTCGTGTGTCTTTCCTGCCGGCCGGGAGCGACATCGACATTTGGTGACCCGCACGGGGACTGATCAACCCCGAGACACGGCGGTGGTGTGCAACGCTCCAGCGTGGTGCTGCCGGACAGGTGAGTTGGGGATAAGCCTGGGCTCTGGGTGGCGCGCACCTACAGGGCTTTTAGACTCCCCTCAGGCTCACGCGTAGGTGACGGGTTCTTTAAGTCACACGCGGTGAGTTACAGCCCTTAGAGGTTGAGGATGGGTAATTTACCGAGCGCGGAGGCCTGGCCCTTGGTAAAGGCCCTTAGAAAGCTTTTAAAAGCTAGAGACCTCAGGGTAGGTCAAAAAACACTGGAACTATTCATAGCAGAGGTAGATAGGGTAGCTCCCTGGTTTTTACCCACGGGGCATTTAAACCTGCCGTCATGGGAGAAGTTAGGCGGGGACCTCGCCTCAGCGGAATTGGAAGGGGATATTTCGCCGGCTATTTGCCCCCTGTGGGAAATGATACATGCGTGCCTTGAAGGGGAGGGGAAGGGGTTCCCGTCAGCAGTTAGAGACGCGGAAATCATAGACGCACGCAAGGCTTTTGAGCAGGCAAAGTCGGAATGCTCTCGGGAGGGATCTGTCCAGGGGGAAAAAATCCAGGGAAAGATAGAGGACACCCAAGCTCTAGAGTCCTCCGACTTAGATAGCGAGGAGGAACCAGAAGGTGGGGCAGGAAGCCGAGAGGCCAAAAACCCCTATGCCGAGTTGCGCCGTGAATTGGAATTGTGTGCGTGCGCCGCCCGGGAAAAGCAGAGAGAGGAGAAAGGGCCCCTGAGCGCTCTCTGGCGGGGAGGAGATAGAGAGCCATCCGCTCCGCCCTGGAGCTCTTCTCCAAAAGCGGCTCCCCGCCGAGAGGCCGCTACAGGGAACCCTCCCTTCTCTCAGCCGGCACAGGAAGTGACGCCCCGTTCCACTCTGTCGCGATCGCCGTCCTACGTTGCGCCGCGGGGCGGACGGTATTTTCATGGGCGGCTACTCTGCCGAGCAGGCT